ACAGTTCGTCTAATATGACATAACAAACAATACAAATAACATAGAAACATGATATATACTCTAGGATGAATAAAATAGGTCATTATGTAACATGTGGAGGCGGCCACAACCGCTCCCTCTTTGTTGTGGTAAACACTGCCATCTAGTGACGGCCTTTTGAAGCCATCTATTATTATAATTATTATACGTAGTACATTATTATTATATATGTATTATTATACATATTATTATTATACTATCATTATTATTCATATTATTATTATACATATTATTATTATTATTATTATTATTATTATTATTATATAAATAATTTGTAATTTTTATTCACACAAAAAATATAAGATTTACTGTTATTCCTATTTGCAATAATTGTATAAATATGTCAACCCATTCACGACTGCATATTGGAATGGTCAGTGACGTCATTTGTTTACTCTGAAACAGCCAAGCAATGGACCATTTCTTCTAGGTTGAGCTCTATTTCAAGGTACTTTTCATCGTGAAAGCAATAAAAATTATATCTATTTCTGTTATATATCTTCCATTCCATCAAATGAGACCAAAAAAACAAGAATGCAACCATAAAAACCATTCGAAATTACCACTCAGGGGTGGCTAATTGCTTAGATTTCTTTCATTTTTGGTGTACGTTTAGAAGCATCTTTCCATCATACATTGCCCAAGTTTCAATAAGATAGTCCAACAAACAAATGAGATACAATTCCCGAGATCAAGAGCAAGAGCCCCTCACCAGTGTCAAGGAACCTGCCTTGAGGTCTGCTCGCTTGTGGAAATTTTGCTCGCGTATGGAAGCAAAAAATTGACCCATCGATTGCTCGTAATAGGAAAAACTCGCACGTGGACACGCTCGCAAGTAGAGGTTCCACTGTATATGGAATAGGGGGTAAATTACTAAATGATGTAAGGAGTTTTTATGAGGATAGTGAGGCTCAGGTTAGGGTGTGTTGAAGAGAGGGAGATTACTTCCTGGTAAAAGTAGGTCTTAGACATGGATGTGTAATGTCACCATGGTTGTGTAATATATTTATAGATGGGGTTGTAAAGGAAGTAAATGCTAGGGTGTTCGGGAGAGGGGTGGGATTAAATTTTGGGGAATCAAATTCAAAATGGGAATTGACACAGTTACTTTTTGCTGATGATTCTGTGCTTATGGGAGATTCTAAAGAAAAATTGCGAAGGTTAGTGGATGAGTTTGGGAGTGTGTGTAAAGGTAGAAAGTTGAAAGTGAACATTGAAAAGAGTAAGGTGATGAGGGTATCAAATGGTTTAGATAAAGAAAAATTGGATGTCAAAGTGGGGAGAAGGAGTATGGAAGAAGTGAATGTTTTCAGATACTTGGGAGTTGACATGTCGGCGGATGGATTTATGAAGGATGAAGTTAATCATAGAATTGACGAGGGAAAAAAGGTGAGTGGTGCATTGAGGTATATGCGGAGTCAAAAAACGTTATCTATGGAGGCAAAGAAGGGAATGTATGAAAGTATAATAGTACCAACACTCTTATATGGGTGTGAAGCTTGGGTTGTGAATGCAGCAGTGAGGAGGCGATTGGAGACAGTGGAGATGTCCTGTCTAAGGGCAATGTGCGGTGTAAATATTATGCAGAAAATTCGGAGTGTGGAAATTAGGAGAAGGTGTAGAGTTAATAAAAGTATTAGTCAGAGGGCTGAAGAGGGGTTGTTGAGGTGGTTTGATCATTTAGAGAGAATGGATCAAAGTAGAATGACATGGAGAGCATTTAAATCTGTAGGAGAAGGAAGGCAGGGTAGGGGTCGTCCTCGAAAAGGTTTGAAGGAAGGGGTAAGGGAGGTTTTGTGGGCGAGGGGCTTGGACTTCAGCAGCGTGCATGAGCGTGTTCGATAGGAGTGAATGGAGACGAATGGTATTTGGGACCTGATGATCTGTTGGAGTGTGAGCAGGGTAATATTTAGTGAAGGGATTCAGGGAAACCGATTATTTTTATATAGCCGGACTTGAGTCCTGGAAATGGGAAGTACAATGCCTGCACTCTAAAGGAGGGGTTTGGGATGTTAGCAGTTTGGAGGGATATGTTGTGTATTTTTAAACGTATATGCTTCTAAACTGTTGTGTTCTGAGCACCTCTGCAAAAACAGTGATTATGCATGAGTGAGGTGAAAGTGTTGAATGATGATGAAGGTATTTTCTTTTTGGGGATTTTCTTTCTTTGTTGGATCACCCTGCCTCGGTGGGAGACGGCCAACTTGTTGAAAAAAAAAAAAATCTTCAAGAGGATGGTAGTTTTTTGAAGGCTAGAAGACAGGTAGTTATTTTAGCCGAGGACCAGTTAATAGGATGGCTGTGATCTCTGACATAACAGAAAAGAGCATTGTTGGTGTCACCAAGGGAGACACATCTTTTGTACGTTTAAGTCTGTCACAAAGGGAGTGGCCAGTTTTGCTAAGGTATTGGAGAGAACAGGATGAGCAGGAAAAAATTAATGCAAAATGTATTAATCCAACAAACAGGGGTGCAATGAGTACATTGAGAGACAACACAATAAGTGTCTGGGGTCCAAGACTGTTCAACTGCCTCCCAGCCTACATAAGGGGGACTGCCAATAGACCCCTGGCTGTCTTTAAGAAGTAATAAAGTTGGTAGAATTACCGACAATATGTAAAGTAAAAGGACACAAGTGCAACTAATGTGACATTTATTGTGGCAACGTTTCACTCTCCAGGAGCTTTATCAAGCTTGATAAAGCTCCTGGAGAGCGAAACGTTGCCACAATAAATGTCACATTAGTTGCACTTGTGTCCTTTTACTTTACATGTCTTTAAGAAGGCAATGGATGGGCACCTAAAGTTAGTACCTGACCAACCTGGCTGTGGTTTGTACTTCATCTTGCATACAGCCAGTAGTAACAGCCTGGTTGATCAGACCCTGATCAGTGGTCCACAATGGACCGATCTGTCAATATGACGTCCCTCTTCTAAATGCGGGTTTTTGGTAAATTGTTCCTGCCATGGTATGATTTTTTTTCATTAGGTCAGAATTGACTGAGACATTGGCCAGTATAGTATTTATTTATTTATTGTTATTAACACATTAGCCATTTCCCACCAAATAGAAACACTTTCATTATCATTCACTCCATCACTGTCTTGCCAAAGGTACACCTACACTCACGCACGCCTGCTGAAAGTCCAAGCCCCTCGCACACAAAACCTCTTTACCCCCTCCCTCCAACCATTCCTAGGCCAACCCCCTATGCTGTCTTCCTTTCACTACAGATTTATACACTCCAAGTCATTGTATTTTGTTCCATTCTCTCTAAATGTCCGAACCACCTCAACAACCCCTCCTCAGCCCTCTGGATAATACTTTTAGTAACCTCGCACCTCCTCCTAATTTCCAAACTATGGATACTCTGCATTATATTCACACCGCACATTGCCCTCAGACACAACATTTCCACTGCCTCCAGCCTTCTCCTTGTTGCAACATTCACCACCCATGCTTCACACCCAATGTAAGAGTGTTGGTATAACTATACTCTCATACATTTCCCTCTTTGCTTCCATGGATAACTTTCTTTGTCTCCACAGACTCCCCAGTGCACCATTCGCCTCATTAATTCTATGATTCACCTCGTCTTTCATATACCCATCTGCTGACAAGTCCACTCCAAAATATCTGAATACATTCACTTCTGCCATACTCCCTCCAATCTGGTATCCAGTCCTTTATTACCTAAATTTTTTGTTACCCTCATCACTTTACTCTTTCCTGTGTTCACTTTTAATTTCCTTCTTTTACACACCCTTCTAAACTTGATCACTAACCTCTGCAACTTCTCTTCAGAATCTCCTAAAAGCACAGTATCAGGAAATAAAAAACTGTGACAACTCGCACTGTGTGGTAGATTCTTCATCTTTTAAACCCACTGCTCTTGCTAACACCTGAGCATTCACTTCTCTTACTTCTGTAAATATATTGAGCAACCATGGTGACATCACACATCCCTATCTAAGGCCTGCTTTTACTTTGAAATAATCTCCTTCACTCATACATGCTTTAACTTGAGCTTCACTATCTTTGTAAAAACTCTTCACTACTTTCAGTAACCTAACTCTTATTACATAAATTTGCAACATGTGCCTCATTGCACCCTGTCTACCCTATCATGCCTTTTCCAAATCCATAAATGTAACCAAAACCTCTTTACCCTTATCTAAATACTGTTCACCTACATTCTTTACTGTAAACACTTGGTCTACACACCCCCTATCCTTCCTAAAGCCTCCTTGTTCATCTATGATCCTGCTTTCTATCTTACTCTTAATTCTTTCAATAACAACTCTAAAAAAAAACCGTACCACAGGTGAGGTCAGAACCCGTGGTCAGAGTCTTAAAACTCGAGACTGACATGTTAACCACTTGGCCAGCAGGCTACAATAAGATTCATCCAACTAGGTATATTTATTCACCATAGGAAGGTTAGCATAGGCACCATTGTGACCACAAATGCATTTGTGGTCACCTTAATTTGTTTCAATTGCATTGTTGTGACTTTTCAGTTTTGAAACTTTGTTAATCTTAAAGACTTTTAGCAGAAAAAACCTTTATGACATGACATTTCACCCTCTGGAAGTGAAAGGTCATATAATAATGGGTTTCTCTACTAAAAGTTTTGCAAAATTGCTGCTTGTCAGTTTACACTGTTGTCTACATTTCAACAATATTAAAGAGCACTTGTAACACAACATATATGCTTCTCTATTTTTTTTAAGCACTCTTCTTTAAATTGCTAAGTTATATTAGAATTATTTTTTATTTTTATTGGCAACAGGTGCTTCAAAAAATTACCACACATTTGAATACCTAGTTTATACTGGGATTACTTTCATTATTAAAACAAGTGTTCTGCCCATCCCTAGCTGTGATTAAAAAATCCTAACAATAATGTTTTCTTCCAGTTCTTCATTTAATGGCTCGATTTGAGAACATTTATTTTGCAGCACATGCGTGAGCATCAGATGAATGAATATCAGTGCCCGTATTGCCTTCATGGGGATGCAGAGAAGGAGCGTCTCCTTAGCCACCTCTTAAACTGTCACCCCGGACGTCCTGGAAAAGTGCTATTGCGCAAACAGATTACTTCTGTTGGCGGTGGGACAGTGCCTGTCAATCCAGATCTTGTCTCACGACCACCACCTTCACCCGATGGGAGCATGAAACCAGAGAGAAGGGGGATTTCTAAACTTGATAACAAATTAACAGAGAAGAAGAATGAGGATGGAATAAGTTCTTCAGGTTTACCTTTGACTGGAAGTGAAGGATATCAGGTAGACATATTATTCTTTGTACTTTTGCAATTTTCCTATAAAAATCTTATGTTTTATTTGTGATAATTGATAGTGCTGATAGTTCATGAAAATCTGGATATAAAGGAAAATTTTATTATGTCTTACCCAGCTTGAATCTGTATGATAATTATCTGCAGCTCAGGTGGAACCATGTAATTACTTCCAATTATGTATTTATATTTACAAAGGAGAGGGCCAAGGACTGAGCTCTAGCTCTTGGTTCTGCCTCCTAACTTTCTGTCAACTGACATAAATAGCTCTAGTCAGGTTGCTCTTTATATCCCTGTATAAGAGTTTGTTAGGGAGAGGGGTAGGATTAAATTATGGGGAATCAAATACAAAATGGGAATTGACACCATTACTTTTTGCTGATGATACTGTGCTTATGGGAGATTATAAAGAAAAGGTGCAAAGGTTAGGAGACAAGTTTGGGAGGGTGTGTAAAGGTAAAAAGTTGAAAGTGAACATAGATAAGAGTAAGGTGATGAGGATATCAAATGATTTAGATAAAGAAAAATTGGATGTCACATTGGAGAGAGGGAGTATGGAAGTGAATATTTTCAGATATTTGAGATATGGTTTGTTTCCAATCATGTCATTACGATTTCGTGAGTCATATATGAGAGTTGACTTGTCAGGGGATGGGTTTATGAAGGATGAGGTTAACCATAGCATTGATTAAGAAAAAAAGGTGAGTGGTGCATTGAGGTATCTGTGGAGACAAAAAACGTTATCTATGGATGCAAAGAAGGGAATATATGAAAGTATAGTGGTACCAACACTCTTATATGGGTGTGAAGCTTGGGTTGTAAATGCTGCAGCGAGGAGGCGGCTGGAGGCAGTGGAAATGTTGTGCCTGAAGGCAATGTGCGGCGTGAATATAATGCAGAGTATCCGTAGAGTATCCGTAGTCAGCTGTTGCTGAACCACGGTCAGCTGCTGTTGCGCCACGGTCAGCTGCTGCTGCACCACGGTCAGCTGACTTTGGCGCAGCAGCAGCTGTCTGTGGTGCAGCAGCAGCTGACTGTGGTGCAACAGCAGCTGACCGTGGTTCAGCAACAGCTGACTGTGGTGCAGCAACAGCTGACTGTGGTGCAGCAACAGCTGACCGTGGTGCAGCAACAGCTGACCGTGGTGCAGCAACAGTTGACGGTGGTGCAGCAGCAGCTGACGGTGGTACGATAGTACATATTTCTCACCCTTTTTACCACAGAGTTGGCACTAGAAGCTTTCTTTGGGCCTATGGTGGCTTATTTAGAAGTTAAAAGCACTATAAACAATGGAATAATACAAACTGTATCGAATGTATGCATACAAGCGGCCACCCTGGCTTGTAAACAATGACGGCAGTCCAGCTGAGGCGCTCAGGCTAGACGGACAGGTTCGGGACGAGTCATGTTGGTCAGAAACAGCTGATGGTGGTGCAGCAGCAGTTGGCTGTGGTGCAGCAACAGCTGACGGTGGTGTAGCAGCAGCTGACTGTGGTGTAGCAGCAGCTCACCGTGGTGCAGCAGCAGCTCACCGTGGTGCAGCAACAGCTGACTGTGGTGCAGCAACAGCTGACTGTGGTGCAGCAGCAGCTGACCATGGTGCAGCAGCAGCTGACTGTGGTTCAGTAACAGCTGACTCTGGTGCAGCAGCAGCTGACCGTGGTGCAGCAACAGCTGACTGTGGTGCAGCAACAGCTGACGGTGGTGCAGCAACAGCTGACCGTGGTGCAGCAGCAGCTGACCGTGGTACAATAGTACGTATTTCCCACCCTTATTACATACGATCGCTTGAGAGATGGTATCTCCTGCTATCTGTTTTTTGTTTATCCACACCAATAACAGTCTCTCAACATCTTTGAGTACTTGCGATCTCTGTTTCGAAAACTAACTTTCACCTTTTGCAAGAACAGCTTCCTTGATTGCCGTTTTGTTGGCCACAATAGTAGCGATGGTTGATTGGGGTTTGGTATACAACCTGGCCAGCTCCGAGACACGCACTCTACTTTCGTACATAGCAATTATCTCTTTCTTCATTTCCATAGTAATTTTCACCTTTTTTATCGCACGGTTGGCACTAGAAGCTTTCTTGGAGCCCATGGTGACTTATTTTGCAGGTACAATCACTAAAAATGCTGTGATAATATGAAATGTTCCGATTGTATGCGTGGATGCGACCACGGTGGCTGGCTGGCTTGTAAACACTGGCACCCACGGGGCAGCTGAGGCACACTCAGGCCACACTTGGGATGCATCTCGGACGAATCACTTGAGGTGAAGCAAAATTTTTGCATTAAAATGTATCGTATGGTGGATTTAACGTAAGGTGATGCCATCGTATGGTGGGGGTCCAGTCTGCCGACTGGCGAAATTCACGATTGGCGAATCTATTTTCCCCATAAGAAATAATGGAAACCCAATTAATCCATTTCAGACAGCCAAAAGTATTAAAAAATAATTATTTTGAAGGTTAAATATGGATTTACATACAGAAAACAATGACAAATAAATTTTTTTTTTTTTTTTCAACAAGTCGGCCGTCTCCCACCGAGGCAGGGTGACCCAAGAAAGAAAGAAAATCCCCAAAAAGAAAATACTTTCATCATCATTCAACACTTTCACCACACTCGCACATTATCACTGTTTTTGCAGAGGTGCTCAGAATACAACAGTCTAGAAGCATACACATATAAAGATACACAACATATCCCTCCAAACTGCCAATATCCCAAACCCCTCCTTTAAAGTGCAGGCATTGTACTTCCCATTTCCAGGACTCAAGTCCGACTATATGAAAATAACCGGTTTCCCTGAATCCCTTCACTAAATATTACCCTGCTCACACTCCAACAGATCGTCAGGTCCCAAGTACCATTCGTCTCCATTCACTCCTATCTAACACGCTCACGCACGCTTGCTGGAAGTCCAAGCCTCTTACCCACAAAACCTCCTTTACCCCCTCTCTCCAACCCTTTCGAGGACGACCCCTACCCCGCCTTCCTTCCCCTATAGATTTATATGCTTTCCATGTCATTCTACTTTGATCCATTCTCTCTAAATGACCAAACCACCTCAACAACCCCTCTTCTGCCCTCTGACTAATACTTTTATTAACTCCACACCTTCTCCTAATTTCCACACTCCGAATTTTCTGCATAATATTTACACCACACATTGCCCTTAGACAGGACATCTCCACTGCCTCCAACCGTCTCCTCGCTGCTGCATTTACCACCCAAACTTCACACCCATATAAGAGTGTTGGTACTACTATACTTTAATACATTCCTTTCTTTGCCTCCATAGATAACGTTTTTTGACTCCACATATACCTCAACGCACCACTCACCCTTTTTCCCTCATCAATTCTATGATTAACCTCATCCTTCATAAATCCATCCGCCGACACGTCAACTCCCAAGTATCTGAAAACATTCACTTCTTCCATACTCCTCCTCCCCAATTTGATATCCAATTTTTCTTTATCTAAATCATTTGACACCCTCATCACCTTACTCTTTTCTATGTTCACTTTCAACTTTCTACCTTTACACACATTCCCAAACTCATCCACTAACCTTTGCAATTTTTCTTTAGAATCTCCCATAAGCACAGTATCATCAGCAAAAAGTAACTGTGTCAATTCCCATTTTGAATTTGATTCCCCATAATTTAATCCCATCTATAAATATATTAAACAACCATGGTGACATTACACATCCCTGTCTAAGACCTACTTTTACCGGGAAGTAGTCTCCCTCTCTTCTACACACCCTAACCTGAGCCTCACTATCCTCATAAAAACTCTTTACAGCATTTAATAACTTACCACCTATTCCATATACTTGCAACATCTGCCACATTGCTCCTCTATCCACTCTATCATATGCCTTTTCTAAATCCATAAATGCAATAAAAACTTCCCTATCTTTATCTAAATACTGTTCACATATATGCTTCAATGTAAACACCTGATCTACACATCCCCTACCCACTCTAAAACCTCCTTGCTCATCCGCAATCCTACATTCTGTCTTACCTCTAATTCTTTCAATTATAACCCTACCGTACACTTTTCCTGGTATACTCATTAAGCTTATTCCTCTATAATTTTTACAGTCTCTTTTGTCCCCTTTCCCTTTATATAAAGGGACTATACATGCTCTCTGCCAATCCCTAGGTACCTTCCCCTCTTTCATACATTTATTAAACAAAAGTACCAACCACTTCCAACACTATATCCCCCCCTGCTTTTAACATTTCTGTCATGACCCCATCAGTTCCAGCTGCTTTACCCCCTTTCATTTTACGTAATGCCTCACGTACCTCCCCCACACTTACATTCTGCTCTTCTTCACTCCTAAAAGATGGTATACCTCCCTGACCAGTGCATGAAATTACTGCCTCTGTTTCTTCCTTAACATTTAAAAGTTCCTCAAAATATTCTCGCCATCTACCCAATACCTCCATCTCCCCATCTACTAACTCCCCTACTCTGTTTTTAACTGACAAATCCATTTTTCCCTAGGCTTTCTTAACTTGTTTAACTCACTCCAAAATTTTTTCTTATTTTCATTAAAATTTCTTGACAGTGCCTCTCCCACTCTATCATCTGCTCTCCTTTTGCACTCTCTCACCACTCTCTTTACCTTTCTTTACTCTCCATATACTCTGCTCTTCTTATAACACTTCTGCTTTGTAAAAACCTCTCATAAGCTACCTTTTTCTCTTTTATCACACCCTTTACTTCATCATTCCACCAAACACTCCTCTTTCCTCCTGCCCCCCCCCTCCTATAACCACAAACTTCTGCCCCACATTCTAATACTACATTTTTAAAAACTATTCCAACCCTCTTCAACCCCCCACTACTCATCTTTGCACTAGCCCACCTTTCTGCCAATAGTCGCTTATATCTCACCCGAACTTCCTCCTCCCTTAGTTTAAACACTTTCACCTCCCTCTTACTTGTTGTTGCCACCTTCCTCTTTT